GCTAACTGGTGGAATTATGGCTTTCTCTGGATCGTAAGTACTTCTATTTCTGTTCTGTGCATCTGGTCGTGTTTGAATGGACTGATATTAGTGCTTTGATACCGTTCCACCTTGTTCTAAATTAAGAACTAGCTAGCGTAAACTCAAAGACACTTTCTTTCATAATCCTTGAGTGAAATTCTAAATCTACTGACCCACACGCGCTCACACACACACACACTTATAGAAAAGTATGCTTTGAAATGTTAGGATATCTGTAGCTGCAATGTTGTCTGTTAGTTACTGGGGTTGAGAAATAATGGAAAACTATTAGAAGTATTCTTGCCAAACTTACATCATTTTCTAGAGCATAAGTGTTTATGCAAACAGGTGTAAAGCGTATGTTTACAAACAGGTGTAAAGCATAGCATTGCACAGTTAAGAAATTTCCCCCTTTTCTTGTAATCTGTTGACAGGAGCATCTCCCTCTTCAGCTCCTCCTGTCGCTGTAAAGTATATTCATGTTTAAATCTGTTAATCAGCAATTAAATCTACTAGAGATTTCTAAATAACAGAAGGACCCCAATTAGTCTCGACTGAGCTTTGGATCCAGCATAAATTGTGAATACGGGAAGCTAAGTCCAGAACACACTATATATAAATTGCACATTTGTGATGCTAAAAGCTGCTCTGAACAGCAATGTTTGTGATTCCTATTTGTTACCAAATAAAAGAAGGCTTTTCCTGTAATTGGTGAAATCGTTAACTATGAGTTCTGTTCTTTAAATCTGGACATCTCCGTCACTGTGATTAAAAATAAACTGAAGGTGTTCTCGTTGCCCGATAGTTCACCTCTATGACTACTTGGGCTACATCAGAACCCATACCTCTGATCTTTTTTACTTCATTATTAAAAAAAAAATTAACTGAAAATTCTCAAAGAATATTATCTATGGATCAGTTACCTTTTCTTGTAAGCTGATGTTATAAGGTCACGCGTCATTTTATGCTGGAAAAAGATAATCTATCCACTGATTCAGAATGTAAGGGACCATAAAAGTTTTAAAGTGCAATAATTAGACAAGAAGGTGATTATCAGTATCAGTTTTCACCAATTAAGAAGTTTGATTTTTTTGTCTTGAAACTCCAAAATTTCTCCATAGTAGGTTTCAACTTTAATCTGGGTCAAGCTTTGGCCTTTCCAGTTTGAATGTCTTTATATTATAGGCCTACTGAATATTGAAGTTTAAAATAGTTGATTTTATACTGTGTGTTATGTAACATTTAGAGCCCATAAAAATAAGTCCATTAGTTTTTTTGGATAAACTTTTTGTTGATCATAAAATTCGTGTAGCTTTCCATATAGTATGTAATATACGTTGTTAATATTTAAGCATATCGTTTGGGGACTTGAATGATTTGGCATGGATCTGCAATGTAATTTATGTAATTTACATATTTCATTCTTTTTTGGCTGTGGATCCTCTGGTAACTTTTTTATGACATTTGATATCCTGAACGTCATGATAATTTCTAAAACAAGTTATTGCTCCTATTTAGTTTAGTTATGCAAAACCCCTTTTTCTTCAAAGAAATTCATGTTTAAGGTGTTAGAGAAGTGAAATTTATGAGATAATGATAGTAGTTTTCTCACGAGTAGAATCAATTTCTAGTAATCATAGTCATGTTCTTTTGTGATTGTTGCATTTAGAACTTGCTTATTAAAATATAACAATCACATAAGCATTGATGATGTTGGACCTAAAAACTTATGGATTTGGAACCGAAAGCAATTACTTAGAAACTGTATTGCTTGAAAGTTTGTTAGTTGGACGCTTCAGCATTCATTTGAATGAACATGCTTGGATGGTCAAGCATAGGTGTTCCTTCTGATACAGGCTGGTAATTTTCAGTTCGCTCATATATTCATTACAAATGGATATTTAGTGGTTTAATTTGACTCAACTTGTCCAATTTCTATAATATAAATGCCAAAATGTTTTTTAGGTTTTATCTGGACAAGAGTCTGAACGAATCAAATATATTTTTCTTAGATGATTGATTTCCTAAATATATTGGAAGTCTAGTTGAATACTTTTTCTACTACTACTACTGTCTTCTTTAGTGAACATTTCGGTGAATATACATTTTCTCTTCAGTAATGAGTGTAATTAAGAAAAGCAAAATGCTGGTCTGTCTGTCTACAGGTGTTATGCTGTTGCACTTCTTGAAGACAGGAAATACTCAACCTTAGCTCCTCTCGGTGGCTTTGCATTTATTGCTGCTTGGGCAAGTTTATTGTTTTAGGAGAACGGATGCCCAGAGTTAGCAAGCAGCAGTTGCTAAACTTGATTGATTAAGCATTTGGTGAATCAAACGGGCTAGTGACACTTTCCTGTTTCACTTTCTGTAAAATAGCAACGGAATTGGTGAAAATATACTGTAAGCACCATTCGACATTCCTTGAATGTGTAAAGAGATGTTGAAGTTTAGTATACTGAATGCTGGACCGTATAACTTATCAATAAAGTTGATTTGGAATTTCCCAATACAAAGTTAATGCTAAGTTCGAGCTTTCATATTGTTTCGCCATAGTGCATGAGGCATGAGCCTGAGCTTTATATCTAGCAAGTGGAGTCACCCTGGCTAATTAAACCAAGGTATGAAAATTGAGTTGATTTAGCCCTCATCTTTTTCATATGACTTTTAATTGATTTACTTAACACTAGCTGAAATTGTATTATAGAAGTATAGATGCTCCAAATAGAGATAAACTAGTGGATGTCACAACTGCATGATTACTTAGCAGCCTCTATCTCGAATCTTTAATTGCAAAAATGGATACAACATATTGAATTCAACTACTCAAATCCAGGATATAGTCAGTTGTCTAATCTCCGGATTATCTTTCTTGGCAGTAAACGATGAAAACCTGAACTTGGCATTTAAGAGACTGGAAAACACAAAGTACTAGGGCATATACTCGTAGTGGCAAGAATTATGACCTGTAAGCAAGTAAAATGTGGATCAAAAGTTAGCTGATATGTTGTTGTATACTAACAAGTAAAGTATCAGTAAAGAAGACAGAGAAAAAGTAAGTAGTAATAAAAGCACATAATAGTATATAAGAAGATCCAGATCCATACTTAGCTTAGCATAGAAGGTTTTACATGGTCTCTTTTTCTCTTTGTACTTTAACATGGCTTCATGTGATAACATGATCTAGACATTCCTTTGGACACAAGACAAGTTTTTCCTTTTACCCCCACCCCACCCTTTTATTCAAGATGTCATTGGTGCATTTGGATAGTGGATACAGAAGCGGATCCATGATTTGAACATAACATAGAAGTTCAGTATTGATCTTCAGTTTATATTCTTTGTTATCGATACTGAGCTTACTTTTTCCAAACCATGAGAATCATTCTTAGTTGAGCGAGAATCTCCCTTTTAGGAGTATACTCCAGCCATTGCTCTAATCGCGTAAGGCACATGTTGATTACTTACTTACCTTATATCTGTCAGTTGCTTCTTGTTAAAAGACATTATATAATTTGCAAATTGAAACAGAAAACAGGTAGTACTTACTAGGATCAACTTGAATAACCATGGCAGCATTGTTGAAGAAACAGGTTCCACCTTTCCTTTTGTACTTCTGAAAGTAATTATTGAAGGCATAAGAAGCATGATCTCTTACAGTATTTGGATAATAACAAGACTGGTCCTTTTGAATCTTGCTACAATCTGCACCCCCTTTTCCACATGCCCAATCTAAAGCCACTTGCAACTCAGTATCTGGTGTCTGTTCATCTGCTATGCACCATTCTTCTAGCTGCCCATTCACTATGAAAAAAGGGAATAAAATGTGTTGACTATCAAACAACAACATATCCACTGAAATCCCACGAGTAAAGTCTGATGAGGGTAGATTAGATTTTACCTGAAATTTTTGTGACAAACATGAAAAGCAGCAGAACAAGAAAACTTGTTGACATACTTCTCCTTTTGTGACAAGCTGAGATTGACAATTTCTTTTGGGGTTATGGGACTAGTGGTGCTCAACTGACAGTTTATCTAGATTTATATGTAATGCACAAGTTTGTTTAATGTTTTTTTTTTGTTGGTATTTGGTGAAGTGGGATGTTATCCAGGTCTCACATGCAGGGGTTTAACCAATAAAATTTGGGCTCTGCTAATGTTACTTTTCACATTGTTTATTAGAAAAGATTCTTATTAACTTGCAAAAATATATATTTGACCATACGGAATTGAACAAGTGCTTTATGTATATTTATTTTTTTAAAAAGAAATTAATCAGTAAAATATGCACATTTTTTTTAGAAAAATGTCAGAATAAACGAGATTGTTATTACAAGGAGGGTTTAGAGAATCAACAAAATAATTTAAATAATAAAAACACTTTAGAGTGAGGGTTTTATGATGATTAAAATATAAGCTCGCCAAATTGAGTCTGCTTAAAAGAATAAAACTACATCTTAATTAAAAAAAAAGAAGCTAATTACCAAAGTTTTTATTCATATAGAACAATTGTAAAACCACTAATATATTTACACAAACCATTTTATTAAAACACAGAGGCTAAGAGATGGATTTTTTGACATATTAGTAAAGGCAAACTTAGAAATTTAGACGCTACGAGTTTTGAATTTATAATGACGATTTCAAATGCTGAGCTCTAAAATTGATATAGTATATATTTAATAAACTTATTAATACAAATGTATTTTTAGACTAAATTCGTATCTGAACTTTTGACTCCAATTTTACATATTAGTATCTAAGTTTAGAAAATAGTAGTAGTAATACACACAATTAAAAATATGACGTAATGATCAATCAAATAGTAAAAAACGTTGGTGTTGCACATTTACGAATGTAATTAAAAAAATATTATGAACTCATATAATTCCACTTAGGATTAAGGTCTAATTTGTACATCACAGAAAAAGATGGGGTTTTCTTGCAAATACAGAAAATACATTAAGCGAACCTTCTTGTAATTTTTCAAATGTATGGGAACTCCGATCGATTCAAAGTTGAAGCTCTCAGAAGATACGTGAACTATGGCAACGGCGGTTGGGATCGGAGAAGGGAATTCCGGTGCCGGGGGTGGAACCTTATCGGAACTTTACCAAAGCTCGAGACGGCTCTTACTCAAGTCTCGAGATGGTTTGGAGAGGCTCGAGCGTTTCGAGTACACTTCGTCGTCGTCTTCATCTTCATTTTCGAGTGCTGTCGTGACAGATCCTTCAGAACAACCGTTTGATGCAGTAAGGCAAGATATCGCTCAGATCCAGTCTCTTTGCTCTAAGATGGAACTTCTCTGGCGATCCATATCTGCCAAATCCCAGCGTGATCTCTGGAAAAGGTAGGGTTCATTTAATTTCGATCTATTGTATTGAGATTACTTTGCTTAAAAATTCAAATTACGTAGTATTGGAATGATTTGAGCGTAATACATACTAGAATTTATATTGCTGATTCAGTAAGTTGGGATCTAAATATAAATTATTGATTAGTTAAAATTGAAGTCTAATTTTTCTGCAGTTTGTGATCTAGTGTGGTTGATTTCTTCGATTAAGGTGAATATTTATAATTGAGAGGTCTAATTGCACATTGGTCTTGTGGTAAGTTTGATGTGTGGTTAGGCAGGATTGTGAACTAAAATATACAACTCATTGAAATTTGCTGCTTTAAGTTTTTCTCCCTTTGTTCTCCCTTCAAGTATCAGGTTTCCGTTGTGTGCTATAAGAGTATTAGTGTCAAATAAGATAGAGTCAGCCAATATTTTCTGTTTCAAATTTTGAGTTGGTCTGAATTTGGAGGTTGTTTTATCCGATTAGTTAAGATCCTTTCCATGTAAAATTTTGATTCCATTTGAGAGAAACTGACGAAGGTGCTTACTGGAGGCCGGAAGGTAGCTGAATCCCAATTCTTTATGAGCTGACATCATATTTTTCCTACTCTTTCCTTTTCGTTCAGTTTTGACTTTCACTTAGAGTTGTTAGTCTGCATTGTGCAGGTTAGTTGGTTCTCCATTCAGATGAGGTTGACATTTGTATATGGAGTATGTATAGGTTTCACATTAGAAATGTAGTTTACAATGCTTGAAGTACTGTGTTTGGTCTTAGTAAACGAGGCTTAAAATCTCAGTAGGATCACTCCTCTTTCTAATGTTCAGCGGCAACTTTTCTTGGTGTTATACTTTGTAAATTGTGGTGATTCAAGTATAATGAATCACATTCCTAATTATACTATACAATAGGTAACAACCATCCAAACAAGTAAAGAAATAAAAGCCATTTTAAAGGGACGTGAGAAAATGAGTTAGTGACCCTCTTTTTCCATCCTATTAGGTGTCCATTGAACTTGGGGAATGGGAAAAATGTGTATCGATCTGGTTATCAACTTTCGATGTATGGATGAAGATTTAGACAGGTGAGTGAATTCTGTGTGTGTTTAGGTTAACGGAACTCCTAATATTATTAAATCAGTTACAAGTAATTTATTTTTAAAAAATGTTGCATGTCACTGGATTATTTACTTAGCTCCGCTAGGATTACATAAGAGAATTATAGTCATATGGAGTATTTGGGAAAGGTGCAAAATTTGTAATGGAGAAAGCACCAACTTGGAATATCTGATGAGCCTGGTTACTGAATTGAGTAGTTGCTGATTAAGTTGACCGTCATACTCTGGGAGTAAACCAGAAGGTCAGGCTCTTTAGAGCTTGTTTATATTGCATGCTCAATGATAGTCAGTCTTGTGCTCATTTCACGTTGATGTTGCATGTTGAGTTTATGTCTTCCTTATGCAGAAAAGTGGAACAAGTGGCTGAAGAAGCTGACTCTTTGAAAGCCAGTCTGGATAAATATAATTTAAGACATCAGCGACGTATGCAAGAAGCCCGGGAGAGAGCAGAACTGATTGGAAGAAGTGTATGACGTTGTTCTCTTAGTGATGTTATTAAATTTTTTTGTTGATGCTCTAATGTTTCCTTCTAATGGATTACTTTTTGTTCTAGAATGGTGATTCGTCCCATGTTCTGAGGATTTTTGATGACGAAGCACAGGCGATGCAATCTGCTCGTAATTCATCTAGAATAATGGAAGAAACCCTGGCAACAGGTGTGGCCATTCTATCCAAATATAGCGAGCAGAGGGATCGTTTGAAGGTATTTTCTGATGGAGACCTGATTCACTTCTTTAAATATTTTACAGCATAGAAGCTTGTTTAGTTCTGCAATGAAAAGAGATTTTATGTGCTGGGAGTTTTGCCTGGAAAGTGGAGTAAAGATTGCTATCTTATACTCCCTCCGTGCGCCTTTACTTGTCACACCCATTAAGAAAACAATATTGACATGGCTAGTTTACCACAGTACCCCAATTAATTGATGTTTAGTATTAGGTTTTGGAAAATGATTAAGTAATTATCGCCAAGTGTAAAGCATGTAAAAAAATAACTGTCTTTTCTTGATATGTTAAAAATGATAAGTAAAACTGAAAATCTATTTTTGGAATAGTGGACAAGTAAAAGTGAACAGAGGGGCAGTAAATCCAAGTTCTATTACTACATTCACCAGCTATGCTTGGCTCGAAGGGGGAAGTTGAAATAGTCAATATATATTAGCTGATGAAAGTATGGTTTTTCTCCTCTATGTTTTGCTTAAATGAATTTAGAGATAGAACAGTAATGGTTAGTCTTCATAATTGTTTTTAGAAAAAAACATGAGGGATGCTTAATCAAGTTTTGCTCCAGTACCAACACTTCTTTCAAGAAGCAGAAAGGCAAGGACAGTAAAAAGGTTTTGTTTGTGTAAGGTTTCTATTTATCAAGCTCTGGTTACAAGAGAAATTTATCCAAAAACTTGTGGATCTTCAACTTCCTGGTTGAAAGTGAGACGTGTTAGTCTGAGTTCAAGGTCATGGAGGTTTGATTTTTAAAATCTGTAGGTAGGGGCCTTGAGTTGGACCCCTTTGATAAAATGTGGAGAAAATTTTACTTTGTTGAAGGAATACAGGGCAGTGAACATTTGTTATCATTTACTCTGGTTATATTCTTTTGCTACGGTTACTGTTGTTACTTCCTAAAGTTTGTGTTCTTAAGGATATTATGGTTGAACTGCTGGTCTTCTGTTAAACCTTGTTGCAGAGAGCTCAACGTAAAGCACTGGACGTGCTCAACACTTTGGGGCTTTCAAATTCTGTGATGAGAATCATTGAGAAGAGGAATCGCGTTGATAGATGGATCAAGTATGCAGGGATGGTCTTAACAATTGTGATTCTGTTTTTCATTTGGAGGTGGACAAGATGATTGGTACTGCTGTGGACCATTTAGCGAGTGTCTTGTGGTAGTATATTGAGGTAATGAGACTTTTAGTCCCCTTTAAAGGAATCTGGGGAAATTTGACTTGATACTTGATTAGCCATTTTGAACTAATGAAGAAATTGATAAAGCATTGCAATGTAGAATATGAAAACATCATTTTTGGAAACTTTACTGGTGTGTTCATACAGAATTATGTAAACAATTACTACTCTAATTAATTGCGATTTTATTAAACGACATAATAACAAAGTAAAACAACATTCAAACCCTTCGGGGTGGCCCAGTGGTTTGAACGTGGGACTTTCATGTTGGAGGTTTCAAGTTCGAAACCCCTTGTAGGAGCGAGGGTTTTTACCCTGTGCTAGGGTTTCCTTGTCATTAAAAAAAAAACTACATTCAAACCCCTATACTATACTTCTTAATTACATGGATTCTTTTTCTTCTCGTGAATATCACGCCACTTTCTGATCAGCACCTCTTCTTCCGATTCCAACTTTTTCAAAATTTTGGGCAAAACACTCATTGGATCATCCCGCAATCTTGTTATTACAGAGGAACCTTCTTTATATATTTTCCTTATGTATCCCAGACTCACAGCACTGAACTTAATGTCGATATTGATTTGTTGATCCTCCTCCTCATGATGTTGTTGTTGTTGTTGTTGTTGTAGTGAGTTCATCAGCTTTTGTGCAGAATCCTCAGCTGTTTTCCTACGGGACAAGTTGACGTCAAGCTCAAACATCTCATCTTCCATTGAATTCATCTCATCTTCCATCGTAATCTTCTTCTTCTTCTCTTTTCTAATAATTCCGTTTCTACCCAAAAGAAGAAACTCAAACTCATCCATCAAATCTTGATTTTCTTCACCAAAGACTCTCATAATTTCATTATAAGCCTCTTTATTACACAGCTTACCTTGTTTCAACTTCCTAAGGGTCTCCAAATATTGGACGATAACTCCCCGTTCATTAGCAAAGCGTTTCTGCAGTTTATTCATAAATTCAATAAAAGGCTTCAACACTATGATAGGGGGACCTTTCTTCTTTGGTGACTGCGGTGGAGGGGAAGGCAATGTTGCTCTCAAGTGTGGCGGCAAGAAAATTCTATAGCCAGTTAGAAAATCTGGGTAGAATTGGAAGAGAGTTTCCAATTCAGAAACAAGATGAGCAATATCCAACTTGTGAGTTGAATAATCGTTCATCGCTCGTTCGAATCGGGCGAAAATACGAGGGTGTAACTGCAGACGTTGAACAAAAGATACTGCGCAGGCAGTGCGACCACTCCTTTCCATTATTTGTGACTGGTAGAGGGAAAAATTTCAGCTTGTGATTGATAGTTTGAGAGCGTTTGAATGGTATTTATGAATAAAAAGTAACAATACTACTAGGATTGTGAATGGAAAAATTAGTAGTTGTCTTGTTATAGTGTAATTAGGATTTATATATGGTATAACTAATTATATTTTTGAGTAAATAAATATGGTAAGTAATACTATTTCACGCGGGAAGGATTTTGCAAAAAAGATAAAAAAAAAAAAAAAAAAAGAAAGGAGGAAACATTTTTTTTGGTTCACACTGATGTTTACTTTATTTTATTGTTCTAGTATGGTGATTCACAAAGGCACAAGAAAAAAAGTTAATTAAAAAAAGAATTTGTGAAATTATTTTATTTGATATTACTTTTTCTTTTTATCACATTAATCTCTTTAGAATAAATTATACTTGAATTTGATTCTATAAATTCAAGATACATATATTTGAATGCGCTAAATATATCTGTGAAGTCTAAAATATGTTAAGATTCGTAATATTATAAATTTATGTGAATCTAAGTAATTAGCTTCTAAATTCGTAAAATTTCTATAAGTTGCCTATTATTATTTTAGTTGTGCCTTTTGTTAGGATTTATTATAATGATTACTATAATTTTATGTTATTTGCAAATTTAACTACTTCAAACCTAACTTAAAATTTTTCTCTATCATATATGCCTAAAGTACTATTTTAGACGCAGATATCTCAAGTCTTAAAATGCATACAACGTAGGGTGTTATAATAAGCCAAAATATAGATAATTTGTCCAATTCGTTCAGAATTTTAAGGATTGAACTTAAGATAATTTGAATAGGGTTCAATTTCAACTCAATCAAATCCCAATACAATTTAAGAGAATCCTCCATTGATCAATGAGTCTAATTTAATCTTCAATTTCAACCCGTTTTAAGACTCTTTATTTGCATTGATGTAATGTAAGTTTCTATATGAAAAATATGAATTACCATCTATTTTATATCTTTTAACATTTATTTTATCCATTTTTTTAAAAAATCTTGACTCAAATTTTGAATTGATAAATAATAATAATAATAATAATAATATGTTACAATTAAGAAAAAAAATACACATTTTATTTTATTATTATCTCTAAAATTTCCTACCATTTAAAAAAGCTAAAAAAAACTCTCTCCGATACATTATCTCTCTCGGATACATCCCGTGAGCTATGTATCTGCAAGTTTCCTAATGTATTCGAGTACTTATAATTTTAAGGGATAGGGTATAATTAATTCTTAACATTATGAGAATTACGTAAGTTTTTTTACGTGTATTGAAAAGTCAGTTTCACGCTTCAACTATTGTAATGACCATTTACACACCCTTATTATTTAAAATTGAATTTAATATCACCTTGAGACGCACACCACCACTCTCACAGTAGGCGTTGTATTACACTTGTTGTCACGTTAATGTCTCATCAACACCACATTATAAATTTGATTTTTTATATTATTTTATTTTATTTTCTTTATTAATTAACTTTTCTTTATTAACTTTATTTTACACAAACTAATTCCTAATAAATTATTAAAATTCTCAAATAACTGTATCTTCTTCCAATCTAAATCCTACCCACTTTTCCCCCCTGATATGACTAGAAAAATTATTCATTTGAATTTATATCACAATGCTCTTTGTCTTCTCCGGCAAAGAACAATCAACCTATCACTCTTTTCTCAACAGTCAACCCATCTCCGACAAAGAACAAGCACCAAACAAATACCTAAGCCACCACAGACAACCATTCAAAACTCCAAATCAGTCGTTGACGAACACCGAATCAAACCCTTTTACCTTATCCCATTTCAATTTTTTTCCTTTTTAATTTTTTGTTGCAAGTGTTTCGGCTACCTCAAAGCTTCAACGTGAATCTAATGACGTTTCAATGAGCTTTATTTTTAACATTCATGACGTTTGTGTAAGCTTTGTGCTCTAAGATCTGAACAACCAACAAATAAAGCAAGTGATTGTGTGAATATGAATATATTTATTTATGAATACATAAATTAAAAAAAAAACAATTTTAACTTTTTTAAAAAAAATGCAACTGGGTGTATGTATATGAATGCCTTCAGGCTACAAGTATACTTGGGGAGTTTAATGTTGGAGCTTTGCTTGTATTTTGCTGAAAATTTGAAGGTGAAAGTGGAAAGATTAGAAGAACAATGTCTCAAATTTTTAGAATTATTGTAAAATTTGAATTAAAAAATTACTTTTTCTCGGTATATTGATGAAATCAAGTGAATATTGTAGAATTTTGATAAGAAAAATGTAATTACGCGACAAATTGTGCAAAGAAAAAATTGAAGAAAGAAATTTTTTGTAGGAAAATAAGAGAAGAGGAACATGAAAAAGGAGAAAACAGGGGCTAGGGGTTAAAACAACAATTACTTTGTGACTTTATTTTCAACCTCAAACGCGCCTAATTTATTTTTTATTTTAAATTTTATTTTCACGTCAGTTTTGAGGTGTTATTAATTACACTCTGAATAAGAATAAGTGTGTAATGTGTCGTCTTAATAGTTAAAGTGTGTAATTGACTTTTCGATACAAGTTAAATGGGAAATTTATGTCTTTTTCCTTTAAAAAAAAAAACTCTCTCTGATACATTATCTCTCTCGAATACATCCTGTGAGCTATGATCTGCAAGTTTCCTGATGTATTGAGATCCTATAATTTTAAGGGACAGGGTATAATTATTCTTAATACTATGAGAATTATGTAATTTTACTAAAATTATTGAAATTAAACCGGTTAAATCGTATGGATTATGACTTAATCCGGTTATTAGCCTATTTGAGCCCAAAGTAAATTTTATTGGGTCAAGCTCAACCCAATTTCCACTAAAATTAGGTATAGATAAAATTATGTTAATAAAGGAAGAAATGTCAAAAATATATTTAAATTATCTTCTGTTTTTGAGTTTCAACCTAAACTATTGGCGGTGTGTTTGTCAAAATAATGAGTGATTAGATATAAACTCACATTCTCAATAATTTAAGTTGGAAACTCAATAAAATGAAATAATTTAAATTTGTTCTTGACTCTTGACTCTTCAATAAACAACAACACACAATATAATCTTATAAATGAAGTCTGAAAAGTGTAACATACATATAATCATACCCTGTCTTATAAAGATAAAGAGGTTGTATCTAATACATTTTCAAAAATTAATTATAAAAAGTAGATACAAATTAAATTATAATTTACAAATAAAGTAATGTTTGAATCTTTATGAAATAAGTAAGATAACTTATTATTGTGATTTATAACTTCGTTATGACTATTTGAATCAACTGACTTGTGCCTAATTATTTGGGAAAATGGTCTGAAAAGTATTTTAACTTTGACTGAATTTGTTGTTACGATACTAAAGTTTATAGAGGATTTTTTATCACTTTATACTATTTAATAGTGTATTTTAAAGGTATATGTATATATGTGCTTACGTAGACACACTATTATTTATAATTATGCAATATTTATGATGTTCACGTATATATCTTTAAAATATACTATTAAATAGTACAACGGGTAAAATATCCTTTTTAAAGTTTAGATATATTTAAACATTTCCCCCTAATTATTATAATATATATTCACAACATTTATTGATTTATCTAGTTTTAATTTTTATAAAACATTCTATATTCTTTTTGCAAAATATAATAAAGGAAATATTTCAAAAGATATATTTAATAGCGACATATCAAAGTATATGACACCTTCAATAATTATTTAATTTTTTTTTCGTATTTCTTATTTGATTTATTAATTCCATTTAACTTGTTTCTCTTTCCTTTTTCTTTTTCTTAATTCATTTCTATCT